ACTGCAGGAAGTGGGTTCATATTTCTCATGAAATAACTGTTACTGGCAGAAAGCTGTTTTAAAAGAAAATTCTAAACACAGTATGCTAAATTATTTTGCATAGGATATTGTGGAACCCTACTTGGTGGCATTTTATTAAAAAACCTTGTTGTTTTTTTTTCCCCCCCCCCCCATCATGAGTCTGATGGCCCTTTTCCAACCAACAAATTTTATTAAAAGATTAGTTGGAAAAGGGGCTATCAGGGTCTCATTTTTTGCAATCTCAGCAGTCAAAATAATGTTCAACACTCATGCTCTGCTGTTATGGTCTACTCACAGGAGGCTAGTGTTTTCCCTTCACCACATTTCATAGATAATACACTCTACCTAGGTTGTTTAACTAGGTTTATTGAATAAACTGCCACCATGTAGGTTCACACAATATCCTATGCAAAATAATTTAGCATACTGTGTTTAGAATTTTCTTTTAAAACAGCTTTCTGCCAGTAACAGTTATTTCATGAGAAATATGAACCCACTTCCTGCAGTGCATGCTAGACCTTTTCAACTGCTAGATAGGTCAAGGCCAATCTGTTCTGAAACAGCCATCCCCTTTTTAACTCCTCCTTTCCTCCATCCTGGGCAACTATCAATCCAGCATTTCACTAGAAGTCTGTACAGAGGCTCAAGATGACAACATATGCCTTCATTCCATAGAGTAACCACACAGGGCCTATTCCAAATATCTAGGGAGATACAGGATAGGCTAACTATTTATTTGCATAAGAAGAAAAGAGTTATTCTTCTCCTGCAGACCTGTCTTGATATTCTCCCACCTTTTCACACAAGACTAACTGTTGTTTCTAAGCTAGTCTTGAGTCCCATGCAAATCATCATGGATACCTTTTAATGTATTTTTGTTGTTTGTCTGTTGATTGCAGCAACCACTTGTTCAGATCTCTTCTGCACTGTTCTCATAACTCCCATTAACCTTCTGTGCTTGCAGTTGGACTGAGACCTTCTCCTGTCTGCCTACATTTGATTGTTACAATTGGCTTCCTGTACTGTCCAATTAGTCTGACCCTTGTCCAAAAGACTGCAACTTTAATGACTGAGAATGGTTTGATCTCAAGGATCAGTTTGAGTTGAAGAAATCCCTGCCACTGTCTCAGTCAGAAATTGCCTTCCCTTCTGTTCCCTCCCAAGTGTTTTATGCAAGCAAACCTATGCATGTCTTTTGGGATACAATTAAATGGTACTAACATTTACAGCACAGTAGAGTCCAGAATGATGAATTGAGATGGAGCATCACAGAAGATTTTGAACCGAGATAGGATTTGTTATAGCCATTTCCCCCACCTCGCATTAGCAAAAACTGCCCCAAATTACTCTGCTTTGTTCCAACTTTTACACCATGACAAAGTATACCCCTAGGTTCCACCCAAGATCCTGTAAAATCATTCTAGAGCAAACTTATTAGAAGTAAGTGAGATACCAGACTATTCATTTTATTGAATGTAAAAGAAAATATTTAATTGAAAGAACTAATACACAGTTTAGTAAAGGTGCTAATGCCTGCATTTTCACTGATAAATATGTGGCATTGATCATAAGCACATGGGGATATAAAATAGGCAAAAGGACTCTCAATTAGTTGTGACTTTCTTGTAAGTCTTAGCTATGATAATAAACATATGGCTTTACCTAACACTTAATGGTTTTCAACAGATCAAAGATGCAAACACTGACACACAGTTTGTACAGAATGTTTGTCAACCTTTTCAAGGATGAAACAACCACATTTTAATTTTCCAGTTATCTCAATACCATCATGGAAAAATTGAAACCTGAATTGTTTTATTGCACTGAAATTTAATAAGAAACAAGCAGTGAGAAAGAAATGATTATAATGTGTTCAGAAAAGATATAATAGATCTGATCTGTATAATTGTAGGAGTGAAAGAAAAAGTAGAAATAAATTACAGATACTAGTCTAATGGAAGCCAGATGGCAGGCATATTTTAATGACCTGATATGTACATCTATATTTTCCATATCAAAAATCCAAGGAAATGAGTAATGATATTTGTTGCATTCCAGTATAAATGTTGGAATTATGAAACCCCCCCACCCCATAGGAGTTCTCAGATTTAATTTCTGGTGTTCCTTACCATACATTCTTTTTACCTTAATTTCTGAATCGCTTTGAGGGAGGAAAGAAGGAAGGAAGGAAGGAAGGAAGGAGGGAAGGAGGGAAGGAGGGAAGGGTAGGGAAGGGAAGGGAAGGAAGGAAGGAAGGAAGGAAGGAAGGAAGGAAGGAAGGAAGGAAGATAAATTCCATGCCCATAGTCCATGCACATTTCTTCTAATAGACACTTTTCCTAGAATTGCATATTTATACTGGTTCAAGAATTGGGAACTGCAGATTTAAATTTATACTCAGTAGAGATA